AAACAACTTACAGCACCATTGACGCTACAGGCAAAAACCAGCATAAACCAGCTTATGTTGGAAGCGTAACGAAGTGGTGTTAGATATCTGCTGAGGTAAGTCTGCTGTAAGAGCGCAGACAAGGATATTCACACAACTATTTAAGCTAAGAAGCCAAATCTCTGTCTTTCTGTATACTTAGAAACAGGAGAAAGGAGGGGAAAAAAAAAAAAAGCTACGCACACACAAAAGAAAAACCACCAAAGTAAAAACATACCGTGGTAACTGCAAACAGTTCTCTAAGCTATTTACCGTCTGTCTTTTGAGTAAGTCTGTGGCATGGCCAATAAGGTTAAATTTTAATGAAGGAAGAAGCCAACACACTCTCCCTCTGCATATATATCTTATTTTTGTCTATTATTTCTTGCGATTTCTTCACATTTCCATTTGGCTTTTCTAGCACCATTCTCAATAGACTGTACTTCAGCATAAACGCCATCGAAAAAAAAAGAACAAAACACCTTCTGAACTGACAATAATTTAACGTAATTTAATTTGGAGATGGCAAAGAAAGAACACCATTACAGTCGCACCCACAGGGGGGAAAAGTTCCACTTACAGTTTTAAATAACTTTAGCCTTACAGTCCAATTCCAAGCTTTTCAGCAGAAGGATTAGAAAAGAGTGGTGCTATGGTGGTGTTATGACACACAGGAATTCAAGTTCAAAAGAAACCATCTGGTTCACTCAGTTCCCTGCAACTGCATTAGATTTTTAGTCCTGAAAGGTCAATGCCACATCCCTATGTACAAACTGGAACACATCCAAGCAACTATAACAAAAATCTTTTTAAGTATTAGAAGTTACTTAAAAATTTGCAATGATAGGGTGTCAAAGGAAGTTAACACACACAGAGAGCTGTGCACAATCAAGTAGAAGAGATTGCCAGTGTCCTATATTTCTCAAGTGACCTTTTAAATATTTTATACTTAATTCAGAATTCTAAATAAGGCTAAGAACTATTTTAAACAATTATGTTTCAATTATGTAAGACAATGGTGACAAAATCAAAACTTAGATCTGATCCAATAACTGTCACTAGGTCTGCTAGCGTGGAGGAGGTGATAAATATCCACTTTCAGCTCTGAATGTCTTGTCTTTTCTGTGTTAAATCCACTTCTACATTAAAAAAAATAATAAAAAATCCCAGTTTTCATCATCTCTGTTCTGCCTACAGCCACTCCACCTCTGTGTTTCCCATCTGTCTACTCATTTCTTGGTGTTCTTCAACTATCTAACTCCCAAAAGATCTTTTTTGGCTCTGCTTGCCTGTCTAACTTGGCCAGCCCCACCACTACAGCAGGCTGGAAAGCTGCAGGTAATCCCCCAGCTGCTCAGTTTCCATCAGCCCAGCAAGCAGTCTTGCTACAGCTTTCCTACCTTAAAACCGGCCATCTGAAACTGGAGACAAGTTAGCTACACCTTTCCAGAGCATTCCTGAATATTTCCTTCTATTCAACTCAGTATTTAGTATTATCAAATAAAAAAAAAAAAAACAAACCAACCAGCAGCACATACTTCAAATACAAATTTTAAGGAAGAATTTTCCAAGTAAATCTTGGTCTCTTCATCATTTGATTCTTTTAATGCTTCACTCTCCCATTTCTGAGGCCTAAGGGCATTCTCTGTGCAGCATCTCTATCCATGCTTAAAAAAAATGCAGACAGACAGCACTTATGCTATAATGTATCTTCAATTCAACAGGAAAGGAAAATGTTTAACAGTAAGAATTTGCACAATTTGTCAGTTACAAACTATGCAGTAAAAGTAGCTACCACCATAGCTGATGTTTCTGTATCATGTATTGAAAGGAACTACAAACAGGCAGGATATTTTATACTCCCAAATATTTATAAGTTGCTTCACCAGTCAGTTCCTATGTGTATTCCTTCAACTGACAAATTCAGTTCTAAATAGCAAATTACTAAATTCCTTTTTAGCAAAAGCCAAACTGAGTTAGTCCAAGGAAACTAAGAACATAAAGATATTCCAGTCACTGTTTACCTAATGCATAGCAAACACGTCAAAAATCAGACAACAGTCAGCGTCTGATAAAGGTGTTTCCGAGATATATGCGGCAACACAGCATTAGAGCAGGTGTTGCTTGAAATGCAAACGAAGATCCAGAGCTAGCCCTGCTGTGTCTCACTCCTGGTACCAAATCACAGGGAAATGGAAGGTCACCAAATATATTCTGTTATCCCAAGATACAGTTCCTCTAAATCTCTTTGAGGATATGGCTAAACTACTATCCCCATATTAACTTACTCTTACTGAAGGAAAATTCTTCCTTAATTTGTAACAGAACTTCTTGTTGCAACTAAAACCACTAGTGCTTCACAGCCATCAGGAATAGCAAAACGCACAGTTTATCCTTATCACAATTTCCTTTAAAGCTTAAGTGGCAGATACACTTGTTCCTTACTCCTTTGTTTTGTGCCACTCATGATTCCCAACTAAATAATTAATTGCACTTGACCCTACTGAATTGCATCATCTTTTTGACCTGGAACTCTAATACTGCCCGTAAACACAATCGGGCAGTCCTGTTCCTCATCACGTTGTTATCTACTGAAATTACCGATCTATAATTGGTATATAATTCTATAATATATATATTCTAACACACATAACTGTATATAATTCTATAATATGTACAATAACAGGATATAAAACAACTGCTCTCAGACCCCTGTGAAGCCCCACTAATAGTGGAGCCATACACGAGGGCTCTCTCAGTACAATTACGCAGCTTTTCAATGCCCATTATACAGTAATTTTATTTAGATCCCAAATGCTTCTCCTTGTCATTAGTGAAAAACTTGGCTGAAGTCAGGACATCTTCTGTTTCTTCCATACTCCTAAATATGTTGTCCTGCTGCAGAAAGACAATCCATGCATCTAAGATCATTCAAGTTATTAAAATCCATGTCTCCTGCTACACATCAACATAGGGGTGGGGGAGCTGGAGGAGGGCTAGGTTGCCTAGAATGGCAATTAAAAAATAATAAATAAATTATAATCCATCTACAGAACAGAGAGTGTCTACAGAAAATTCTAAGCACAGGTCACACCACTAACCTTTCCTCATGAACATGGGTATCAAACACCTGGGTATTCCAAAACTGATCGCATGGCCCTAGAACAGAACTGTTCTTTAAAATAAGACAACTGAGAAAAAAAACAACGGACTGGTACTTGAAACATTTAACTGCCAAAGGAAGAAGAACTGAGCTTTGCTTCAAAAGGTTAGTGCTTTGAACATGAACATTTTAAAGAAATGAGATGGGAGACCTGGGTTCAGTTTCTTTCGCAACGTAAGAGGACTGAAACCTGCAATCCTTGCATCTGAAAAGAGTATCCCAACCACAGGCCTAGGAAACAGCCTAGTTCACTCCATTTTTAAACCCTTCCTTGAAGCCTTGGGAAGAATGGGAAGAATGACAAGCAGAACACTCAGCTGGAAATGACAAGTCTTCTGTTTTGTCTCATTGTCCTCAGCATGTGTGCACATACACTCTGAGGCTCATATTTTAAGATGAGCATTTGTACATATGCATACAAAATAACATTTCATTGAATAAAATTCAATAAATATATATTTTGTCTGCAGGTATGTGATGTCTTATACCAGTAGTAGAGTCACTGGGTTTTACTTTGTATGTTTTGAAAGTTTTAATATAGTTTTCAGTGGAAAAGAAAAATAAAAATTAAAGAATCCATACAACATTATATTTGATTTAGTACAAAAATAATTACGGTCTTCTGACATTCACAGAGTACTTCTTCCTCTGACAACCAGTTGTACTTCCAGTAAGAGATGTGTACGCTCAAACAGAGCGATTGATAGGCCTAAAAAGCTATAACCCTCGGATACCAAAGATACTCACAAACAGGCAGCAGAAATAGAAACCCAAGTGATTTCTGCCTTTCTAGGAAGCTACCTGGAGGATGAGCTGGAAACCTAAAACCGCACTGAAGACCTACCTCCAGGCAACTGAACTCCACTCTAAATTTGAAATCAAGTATAAACTACAGGGAAATCAGCATCAAAAACTGCTTTTCAACTGCCTTGGGACATAATCTTAAATTAAGGTAAATTTCACTACAATAACTAGAAAGTATTTAAAACATTAAAAGAAGCCAGTCAAAAACCATAGTTAACCAAAGGCTACCCAATCAACGGTTTTCATTTATACACTTAAAAACATATTAAGTGAAACTTTTACTTTTATTAGAAGGGGTAAAAGTATAGAGCAAACTATCACACAGCTACCACCTACCCTGTTCCTGAAATCCAGACTCACATGTGCTGTTATGACCCAGGAGAAACTCAATATTATCTGAACCCATTAACAATGAATAGATCACTTCTCCCTAATCCCCATAATCTGTCACCAAACATATCTTTATACATCCTTTTCTCCTTCAACCCAAGTATTTCCATCTTCATCCCTTTTAAAGTGAGGTGTTCCTCACCACTGTTCGGTTCAATGAAGTGACAATATTCGGGCTGAAAGTTGCATATCTAAGTACCCAACGAGCTGGTAAGATATAGAGGCAAATACAAAGAGGGAAACACATTTGCTTCAAACAAGAAATACATCAGGGTATTAAATGAAACACAGTGTAAAGTTTGGTCCTCCAAGAAAAATCTTAACCTCAGTAAGCAAAGACTGTTACCTAATATTCTATCTGCTCCTAGTCTTCAGCTATGCTGTGAGAGAACATCTATTTTTTTTTTTAACAATGAAGTTACTTGTTCAATTTATTGTATAGCATAAATATTAATAGCCTTGAACATGCATTTTCTCAAAATTAAAGATAAGTAAGTGTCATAATTCTCTGGTTACATTATTAAGATTTGAGTCATTCAGCTCCTTATGGCTATGGATAATATCCAACCAATTAACCAAAGATAAACCTAAACAGATAACTGGATGTGAAAATCATTAATTTTACCTGACAGGCAGATGTACGTTAAATATTCACCCTGACCTCCGGTAGCTAGGAAAGGAATCTTTTTTTTTGTTCTTCTTTTCACTTGGACGGCTCCCAGCATCCTTTCATCATGTGGGGCAAAAATTTCTTTGCTGATTGCAGATTTAGCATTCATTGTAGATCACAGATATAGCAGATTGTTGTTCTCTAAAAATAAAACATACACAAAAAATGTTAGAAACTCCTAAGTTATGCAGAAGGCCAGTTAACGTACATGAGAGCATTGGCAGCTCTGACCTTCAAATAACGTTTTTAATGATTCAAAGAATTTAGACGCTAATTTCACGCACGTAGAGGCAGAATTTTCAAAGTATCTAAAAGTCTTCACTGAAGTTGTTCTTACATTCTCTTAAAACTAGCTTAGCTTGTTTCAGGGAGAAGCTGTCAACACGAACCCTTCAGTATGATGCACAATCTTCTCTCCGAGAGACACCCTATAACTTCATGCTCCAGAAAAGCTTCACGTAAGTTCTCTCCCTGGTAACTGGAGGGAAACTCATCTGTCCCACATGGAGAGGGAAAGCATCGCAAGGGCAGAGGGAAGGAACACGGCGGTTGTGCTGGCAGACACGTTGTGTTCACAGCAGATAAAGAAAGCTTCAGACTTGGTAAGAGTGTTCCTTCAGGAGCACCGCTCGTGGTGACAGTACTCGACTGAGCAGCTCCCGCACCTCCTGAAGCTTTAGCACCTCATCCCCTCAATTCCTCTGTAATTATCAAGTGGGCAACAGCGGAGGAAACAGGGTCAGAGAAATCATCAAAGTCAACACAGACAAAACCACACCCCCTCTTTCCTGCTAAGTGATTTTGACCCAGGTCAGTCCTATGTGTTCCCTATAAAAACGGCACAGGCAACTCAGGAGAAACACTTGCAAAGGAAAAAAAATAAAATTGTAGAGAACAGCGACGGAGGAGAGAAGTTGCTTATTCAGGCATGTCCAACTGAAAAAAGGTCAATGTGACCACAGCTTACAAAGGAGCCCGAGTAAAGGCAAGAGAATATGGTTACAGAGGGGGCGTTATCAGGATTTTTATGTAGACACTACCATAGGTAAAACTCCAATTAGGTCTGCACTGAAATCTGTTAGTAACTACAGAGGACCCACTCACAGAGACCGCTGAATGCCCCTTTTAATTGTTCCAATATAACGACTCTCCAATGCACAGACATTAAATTCCACATCTCCACATTATTAAGACTTCCAAGCCCAGGTGTATTTTTTGACATCCTTAGCTTTCTTAGCGTGAACAAGTCTCAACTACTGAAGCCAGAAATTCTGCCTGTAGGATGATTTGATATTTTCCACAATTTAACTATAAGAAAACATAAATTCCAGTCAGATTATGAAGGTGGAAGAGCCATGGATCCATTATTCCTTGTGTGACTACTACCAGCAAAGTAATTGTCTCAGCATCTTCAGTTTCAACACTTTGTTGGCACTTACAATATTCCCTTATCTTAAAAAAAAAAAAAAAAAAAAAAAAAAAAGGCAAGCTCAAATTCACCACCTACTTATTTTAGGATGTATATAGAATACTTTGCCAAAATAAACTGTAATAGTATGTCTCAGTTAACCGATACAGAAGTATGCAAATTCTGACAAGTTTTACCATTAAGTCATTTTACAAGCACCTTTACAAGTCAACGGCATTTAAAAAAATCAAAAGAAAAACAACAGACTGATCTAAAAAGAAGAATGTGCATCTCCTGAAGAGATATGATTTTATAACTCTGCCATTAACTATTCTTTAACAACAAATATATCAACATGAAACAGAATCAAAAGAATAAATTTACCCGATTCTTACTTTGAAAATATTTTCATATTCATGTTCATCATGCCACAACCTTCTCTGTGATGAAAACATCTGTGGTATATATCTTAGACCAGCATGTCAGCTATTCGCACATTATAACTTGGTTTGGGGTTGAATTTTTTATTATTATTTTTTTAATTCAAAACCACTGTCAGTGACTACAGGTTTATCACACAGACCTGCTCCTGATTGAGACAGAGACTTGACAATCTTTGCAAAACTAACATAATATCAGCCTCAGACCTTCGCACGCTTAAAGAATTTTCAATAAATAGCTTACTGGGAAAATACATAGAAATTCTGTCAGATAAGATATACTCAAGTTACATCCAGATGAAAAAAGTATTTTCCACCTTTCAAGGATCTGATGCTGTTATTTCTGCCACTAAGTTGTAGAATAGATGTTCTCAAATGTTTTCTTGAGTTTCACACACTGCAAAATAAAGTGTGATTTCAAAGATATACTCAATGACATAAAGGCTTCCTGCATTAAGAGAGGATACAAGTTTTCCTTATCTACAGCTGACTGTAGCAGAACAGGCTATTGTTCATAGCCTCAAAACATTCATATAGTAGCCAGTATTTACTTTAAGGATGCTACAAGCAACAGGTCTCACTGTACATAGCTGCATTTGCCAAGACTGCTGAACAAGTAAGCAACACAAACAAATAAGAGATACTCTCCAAACTCCATTTCATAGATTTCCCAAATCATTTTGCTTCAAGAACACTGCAACTTACAGCATGGAACTAGACTGACCGCCACATACACAATAATCCAAAATAAACGCAAAACATACAAGATTTAATTAACATACCTCTCTGTGTATACACACATCTCTAGTTCATGCACAATCAATGTGTAATTCACGTCTAGTTCAATATGGTACCCCAAGATAATTAAATCTACCGTTTCAGTAGGGATGCAGAAGACAAGCCGTAGAAGAATTAACTCCTGCAGTTTCTTGTTGCATGCTGGTATTTGCTTTGCAATTAAGCTGGTTTTGTAACAGCAGTTACAACAAGCAGTTGTACCCAGACATAGCAGACACCAAACATCGTAACTAGAACCTTCACCCAAAGCTGGCTACTCGCAAGCTGGCCAGTCACTGCCTACGAGGTTGTGATCCTTCTGTTCCCAATACCTGCTTTGCAACTGCCTCAAATGCCAGAATTAAGCAACTAATCTAATGCAGTGTATTTGACACGATTGCTGAATCAAGAGCAGACATAATGCGATCTGTCAGTTTTACTGGGGAGAAAAAAAAAAAAAAGACCAAAACAAACCCACTAAAAAAACCCCCAAAACACCATCAAATCACACTACGGAAGACTTCTTTCAAGCAACACAAATAAGTCTCAAGTTTTCCCTTTCTCCAAGATGTCGGCTGTACATGCACAACCTCACACAGTACACGCAGATCTCTTTACACAGTCCTATTTGTTCTTGGCGCATGTTCCTGGATGAGTTCAGACCGTCAGCGGTTTCCACTCACGGCCCACGAGGACTCACGCACTGCAATGCAAACAGCTTCCCCCAAGCTCAAACAGAAAACACCTTATAGAAGAAACTTTATATGAGAGAATCTCTGAGCACTAAGTGCATTACTGTTCATGTTTACCCCTCTGAGGCAAAGGGGATTTAAATGTTTCAGTAAACAGAAGACTCTTTAGAGAGCTTTTCCTGCTCCACAAGCTTTCGTTGTTCCACATACTTAATTTCACTCAAATTACTATAATGATGCTTTTGGCTGGAAGAAGGAAATTCCATTTTCCTCCAGTGGTTTTCCATTCCAGCCACCACAGCATTATAAAAGAGGGTGCCAGCATTTACAGGGTGCCCCCAGTACCCAACAGAAATGCCTGTGAAGGAAGATTCCTGCATGGATCTGAACTAGTGCCCACAATGCACAGCCCATTTGCAGCTATTCAAATCCCTCCCTACTGCAATTCTTCTCTATGACATTCCCCTCACTAAAAACTCCTCCTTGGAACAACCAACCATTCCTCTGTATGTGAGGGGACAGCAACTAAAGACAATTTCTAAAAACAATATTAAATAAACCCAAGATACTTAAGCTGATACCTTTAGAGATCCCACACGTTGAGTAACAAAATGCTTGGACTGCGTTCTGGTCAGCTGGAACCTCAGATTGTTTTTGGGCACACAGCCAGCAAGCAACCGACTTATCTTTACATCCAGATGTTTTATAGGACTACACAAGTGGAAAAAAGGAGATTTATGATATCTTTCTTGAGCTATTGGTATACAGAAGGAACTGGGGAAACTAATCCTCAGCATGCAGAATTTAAATAGTAGTTAATTAGCAAGGAGAAATGAAGCAGTAAGGAAGAGAAGAAAGCACAAGCAACGTTTTCAAAAAAAAAAAAAAGTTCAGTATGTTAAGTCTTGCTGTTTTCAAGGATCTTTAATCACAAACAGAGATGGGCTCACAGGACAGGACAGCCTAAGCACTGAAACACTTCCTGCAGTGTGAAATCATCTGAGCAACCTACTATTGCCGAGTGCTGCGCTGGCAGCTCTAGCAAGCACTCAAATCTGCTTTTAATAAACCCACCATCCTGGCAGAGGATATCTACTGCAGGAGATCATTGCAAGACAACATTTCTACTCACAGGAAGTGCTGAGACTACATCTGTAATCGTTCTATTTGTTGCTGGAGAAGCACAAAAACATTGTTCAACTAAGGCAAATAACTTATAAAACCCCAAATACTAGAATACATACTTTCTAAAGTGCATTTGCAATAGATTTATTAAGCTTAATTCTATCCTAAAGGAATAACACCAAGTTTAATTAGCTTTGCAAACAAGGATTAAACCAGCAGATCAACTTTACTCTAAAATGGTAGATGTAAAACCTTTAAAAAGCTTGAACACAACTAGAAGATTAGAGTATCTGTCATCCTTCTATATGCAAATCTAACTCAGCTTGATAAATTTTTATTTAAAATTAGGCCAATAGCAGCAGCCACTGTAGAGATCAGAAAAATTGCACTATGTTGTCCTGATGAGTTCATGACTTCTACAAGTATTTACTGGGGTGTGGGGGGGAAATCACTTTCCAGTTATTTGTAGGCATTCATATTTACAATTCACATTTTCAAATACAATTTCAGTGATGATTGGTTCATTGGAATAAAATATTAATTCCAAAATATGAAAATTATGAAATTGCAACTGTATATGAGGTAATTTAAAAATTAGATTTTTTTTTAATTGCATATCTAAGTACAAAGTAAACTGTCTGCCCAGTCAACCTGGAATGGACATCAGACTTCTGAGAGTAGTTGCTCCTATA